CCTGCTTTGATTTTTTTTTGTGTGTGTGGTTTTCTAAAAGAGTGAGAGAGAGGGAGAGAGAGAGAGAGAGAGAGAGAGAGAGAGAGACAGAGAGAGAGAGACACACAGAGAGAGAGAACAACAACAGAAGCAGAAGCAGGCCTCTGGGTACTTTTGGAGTCCCCATCAGGAATGGATTTTTAAGTCTGTCCCATAAAGTAACATCTCTTCTAAGTCTGTCTATATTGTCTGCAAATTGTTAGTGGATGATCATCCTCACCCCCATTAAGCAGTTTTCTGGGTGCTTCACAACGCCTGCTACGCCTCAGGAAAATTAGTCCTTTATGAAAAAAATCCGTAAGAGATTAGGTAACCTGGGTGTACCTGGAAACTTATTATTTTTTGTTGTTGTTTTGGTTTGGTTTAAATAAGCAAGGACACAAAAACCTTGTAGAGTTTTGAGGTACTTTAGGATAGGACAAAGTCAGGTAAGTTTTAATAGAGATTTGTTGATAGCTGACATTTTAGATCATGAGGAAGGACGAATGCCTCATGGAAATCACCTCTCTTCACAGTCAGGTCTGATGTCAAACAAAACACATCTGAAGTATAGTAATTGCTGTCCCCTGAAGGTGGGGCTGTCATTCTTTCAGTTAGATAATACTAGTAGGGTGGGTATTTATCTTGACTAAAATAAGAGGTCAGAGAGAGAGGAGCATACTGCCCTTCAGGGCTCTTATCTATTAAGGCAGTGGGTCAAGTTTGGAATCACTTAATTCCCCAAGGATCCAGTACAGAGAATGTGAAAATAAACATGAGAATCAGCATGATTTTAGTTAAAGCAAAGAACTGAGAATAGTTCCTAGCCAACAGTGACTATATAGGGCATATTAGTCTATCTGGGACATGAAACATGAGATTACACAGAGTTAGTTTAAAGAGAGAGAGGGAACAGAGGACGAGAAGTCACCCTCAGGTCTTGGATTTATAGCAAAAGTGTAAAGAGTTAAGAGATGAACTAATAAAATGTATTGGGTCTGAATGTGGTGATTATTGGGGTTCACTCCTCTTGAATATCACTCCTCTTGAGGGTCTCTCTATCTCTGAGCTACTTCCTCAGCCCTTTTTGGTTTTTATTTTGGGACTGGGTCTTGCTAAGTTGCCCTAGCTGGCCTGAACTTATGATCCTTGCTTCAGCCCTCTGAGTAGGATTACAGGCATGTGCTACCAAGCCCAGGTAAAAATGGAGTTTAAAATGGAAAAAAAAAAAAAAAAAAGCATCTGATTTAAATGACTCTTGTGTGTGCCCTCCCCCTAAACCTGTTAGGGTAACAGTTCTGAGCAGCTTTCCCTACTGGCCCCTCCCTGGACCCATATCATACTTCTTCCTTCCTGCCCAGGGGGCTTCCCCCATGCCCCAGCAGGGACACCATGGCAACTGTCCGCATGGGCTACCCTTGACTGATGGAAGAGATTGATGGTTAAATGTTTCATCAGACAGTTTGCAGATGCATCTCATAGGGCCCTGGAAAGGTGGTTGCCCTTGGCAATGGCTGCCTCAGTGATTCTTGCTTGTGTTGGCTTTGCCTCTGTTCCTGTTTGACTCCTCCTACCTGTCACTCTTTCTCCCTAGAATCACTCTTAAATAGCCTGTGCACAGGGGTTTGGTCTCAGAGGATGCTTCCAGGCTAAGATGGCATCACTAGAAAAAACCTAAAACTGAAATGGAAGAGATGCTAATCACTCGTTTACCCAGATCCCACAGTCCAGCTGAACAGCAGGACAAAGGATAGAGCAAGATTAGTTTATCTGGGATGAATATCATTTTGAAACACACTGGCGTCTCTGCCTCTGGAACATATCTCCCTCCTCCTCCACCTTTTTCTTCCTCTTTTGGTTCTCTCCATCTCTTCGTTCCCACATCTCTCTATCCTCCTGACCCTTCATCTCCCTTCCCTCTTTGCTGTGTCTCTTCTCTGGTCTTTCATCTCTTTCCATTTCATCTTATTTCTGTTCCCTTCATGCCTTTGCTCTTTATTTTTCTGAATCCTCTCATTTCCTTCCCTTTCCTACTGTCAGTAATCAAAATTGTAGCCTTGAGTCCCGAGCCCTGCTCTCTTTGCAATAGCTGTCAAGCGGGAGAGGAAAAAGGCAGGGTTCAATTGTGTACTCCCCCAAACTGAAGATCCTCAAGGCTCTGATGAGTTTTGATGTTACTGACCCATCATAGGCATCTCATGAACGTAGAAGAATTGGTAAATGCAGGGTCCACAGTGGGGCTGATGGGATTTCAATTTTCTTAGTAGTAGTAAATACAGAGTTGACCCTCAGATCTGATCCTGGGGAGGCAAATCACTCCACCCAGTCTTCTCTCCCTAGTCTCTGGTTGCTCTTTGTTTGGTTCATGAAAATGTATTCCCAGGAGTGAACACCAGAATGTGGAGAGGGTCGAGGAGACTCAAAAGGAAATCTCTGTTGTTTCTTCTCAGGATAGTGCAAAGCCAAGCACTAACCTTCCAGCTGACCTTGAAGGTGACTTGTTTGCCTCTCTGTAAAACCACCGGAACATGTGCATTTGTTCATATTTCAAAACCACTTTATTACCAAAATGAACAAAAGGAAAATGACATTTAAATTAAATAAATTATACAAATATCTCAAGAGATAAGTTCCCAGTCCTCCTGGGAATCGTGTGTCACAGGTTAGTGTCAGCAAGAACAAGGACGGGGGATGTAGCTCAGTGGTAGAGCACTTGCCTAGAATGTATGAAACCATTACTGTTAAAACAAACAAACAAACAAACAAACAACCCCAAACAAAACAAAACCATAAAATCTCAACTAAAGTATCAGAACATTCAAAGTTTTGAAATTCTGGATAATTCTGGATTATTTTGCTACATCACCCCCCCCCCCCCCCCCCCCCCCCCCCCCCCCGACCCTTTTGCATCTAGGCGACATTTGTGTTCTTTCCAAAATATCTCAACACTGAGGTTTTCTTCAGTGTTTTTCCTGGTCCAGTGTGTTTCCAATCACATCTCCACCATGGGCTCCGGAGTACTTTTTGTCTTGGGCATGTCGCAGATCCCTCCTGGAGTCCCTACTGCAGGACGCTGTGAGTCAGCAATCCCCTTCAGCTCTGGGGCTGGCCTGGAGGGTTAATGGTCATTTCATCAAGTCCCCAGGGGATCTAGACAAAAGGGGACTCTGACTAGGTCTGTCCCGAGACTCTGTGACCTTCCCCCACCTCCTGGGCCCAAGCTGGACTTTGAAGGAGGTGGAGTAGGGGAGGGTGAGTTGTCATTGGCTAAGGTTCTTGTCCTCCTGGAATTTGGCACTTCGAGTGCTGGGCACGGTGAATCCCAGATAACATTGTCTTCCGCCTTCCAAGTTTTGAGTTCCATTGGCAGCCAGATGGCATAATGAATTCACAGAGAAGCAATGCCCATGGCCAAGAATGTGCTGGCGTTTCCCCAGCACCCTCTCCTTTAACTCTAAGAAGACTTGCTAGCTGACGAGCTCTCTCAACACACAGGTCAGGCTGAAGTTAGGCGTTGGGATGTTTTTCCCAGGCTGGGCCAGCCCGACCTGTTGGGGTGGGGATCATTAAACTGGAAAAAAACTTGAAAAAAACCCCCAAAAAACAAAAAAAACAAAACAGGAGAAGCCAGAAGATTTCTTTGTGCACTTTCATGGAATTTTTACAAAACACTTGCACATGAAACCTATTTGTTTTCAAGTCACTAGTGGGATCCTCTAGTTATCTCCATAAGCATAGAGATCTTGACCCTGATTTTCCTCTTTCCTAGAGGAAGATAGCCTCAGGTCCTGAGGGTGTTAGGACTCCCTGCAGTGGAAGACTCAATCTGGATCCGCCCTTCTCTGCACCTGCACCCAGCTAGGGGATGCACTTGATTCCTGGGGACTTCCTCCCTCATGTCAGGTCTCCATTATGGCTCTGGGCTACAAGCTGATAAGGGAGAGTTAAAACATGGGCTCTCTGCCAAGTGAAGAAGGACAAGGCAGTTTTCCTGAGGGGAGGCACTTCCCTGATAGGCCCTGAGGTCCGGGGGAATTGTTAGGGCTCAGAATCTACCAGTTTGCTCTGGTTTAGCATTAGCACCCCCTCCCCTTCCAAGTCTCCAGTACCAAGAGGGATTCCCAAAAGCTTTTGTGCAGAATAATTGATATCTGTTGCTGAGTTATCAGAGGATTCTGCCTGCTACCTTCTCTTCTTTGGGGTTGTTACTCAGCCTCAAGTGGAAGGGAACAACCCCTGGGAGTGGGTTGATGTTCCAGGAGATCAAAGCAGTCCTTTGGTGGAGTGCCCCTGAGGAGGTTGCGTTAGTGGTCTGAAGGCCCAGGCCACTGCATGGGTAGAATCTACAGTGCTGAACACAGTGGTCATCTGGGCAGCCTCGGGATGAAGAAGGGACAGAGTCACCAAAAGAGAGAGACTCCTAGGTTCTGAAAAGTGCATGGTCTCTGGGTGCAGAGCTGCCGGGCACAGAGTGGGGCAGCTGAAGGAGGTAAGGCTCAGCGTTCTAACCAGGTTCATCCCTGTGTCCTGGGACAGCCAGATCCCCTCTATACCCAGCCATGCAGTCATAGGGCCGTTCATGAAGCTTCCACACAGGTCTGCACAGTGGTACTTGTCCTCTTTTTGGCTCATTCTTGGAAGTCAAGGTGTCCATTGGCTGCCATGGGTGGGTGAGATGAGTGAGCTTGTGGCTTGCTCATTGCTGGACAGGGTCTGAGGGCCAGGGAGGGGGTGACAGGTGGATTCACCAGACTCTGTCTGTCCCTTGGAGGAACAGGGTTTGAGATGGTTCTTTCTAGGGAGGCAGGGAGGGAGGGAGGGGAAGGAGAGAAATGGAGAGAGGAGGAGGAGGAGGGGAAAGCAGAACCAGAGTCCTGGAGGACACACTTCCTCTCCTGTCAATTCCTGTGGTCCTGGGCTTATCCTCTGTGGAGTTCCAGGTGCCAGGTGCTCTGGAGGTCGCATGGGAACCAGCGGGGCCCTCACAGGGCGGTCAGGGTCTCTGCATGAAACATGCTCCCAAACATCTCCTGAGGGGCCACAGGAAGGAGTGGGGAAGAGCAAGGGAAAGTGTTAGACCTGTGGGGTCAGGGCGACTGGAACCAAGAGGTGACCGTGTGGACCTCTAGTTAAGTGAGTGAGCGAGTGTGTGTGTGTGTGTGTGTGTGTGAGAGAGAGAGAGAGAGAGAGAAAGAGAGAGAGAGAGAGAGAACAGGGCAGAGGCGGGGTTAGCCAGGAGGTGAACTGGGGTACAGCAGTGGCAGGAAGAAATGCCAGATCTGAGTTCTAAATGGCCTCTGGTGTGCTGGGTGACCTTCCACTGGTCCCTTCCTTGTTTTTTTTGAATTTCATTTTCTCCATTAGGGAGAACGAGGGTTGAAACCAGGGGACGCTATCTGTAGCGTTGTACAGATGGTAAAGCTGTGAAGCGCTGCCTCCTTTGATAAGCTATTTCCGTCTTATACAGGGTTTCTGGAATGTGCTGGAGATTCCAAGGGGGCATAGAAACCAGCCTGCCAAATCTCTGTGGCTCCAGCTCTGTTTTCCAGTGTCTCCCACCTGCCGTCAGCACTCTCAGAGATGTAGTCAGAGGACCATGGAACTCAAACCCCCAAAGAGTGGGAAGAGGCACAAAAAGATGTTATTCTTCATAGGTCTAAAGCCAGATTTCTCTAGACCTAGTCATCTGATTTCTTTTAGTTCAGGGTTTTGGAGTAGTACTAATTCTCATGGGCTCTGGGGTGAGGGGACAGTGCCTCTCATTTCTGCATAGCTTTCAGTTCTTAAGGCCTGTTCACTTGCAATAATAATGCATTTGTATCCCCAGAATCCATTCAACTCCACCAGAATAGAATTTTCTAAAAGCAGTTTTTTTTTTTTTTGTGGTACCAGGGATTGAACCCAGGGGTGCTTAACCGCTGAACCACATCCCCAGCCCTTTTTTATATTTTATCTAGAGAAAGGGTCTTGCTGAGTTGCTTAGGGCCTCACTAAGTTGCTGAGGCTGGCTTTGAACTTGCGATCCTCCTGCCTCAGCCTCCCGAACTGTGCGGGAGTGTGCGGCAGACATGTGCGGCAATGCCTGGCAAGAGCAGGGGTCTTTGTTTTGTTCACGGCTAGATGCCCACCCTGCAACTGCATAAGACAAATAGTATGCACTCCATAAATAAACCTTTGAATTAGTGAAAGAACAAATGACTCCCTCTTACTGCCCCCCTACTGCCAATCTTGTGGGGGACAAGTATTATTCATATTTCCCTTATTTTAGATGATGGCGGGAACTCGTGGTGTTACAAGACTTTCTCCAGATCACAGTGTGATGTGAGGCTTTCTCCAGAACACAGTAGAGGTAAGAATAGATATCAGTTCTCCAGGACTTGGCCTGGTAACTCTCCCTACCCCCAGGATGCCTTTCAGGGAGTGAGAAGAATTAAGATCTGCTATTAAAAGAAAGAGGAGGCTGAAACTTGGTTTCAAGGTGACTGCTCTGGCCAGACGTGAGAGTCCTGGGAACACCCTGTATTGGAGGAGACCCTCTCCCTCCCTCCCCTTCCCCTTCTTCCCTCTGCTCACCTGTTCTAAGTCCCAGTAGCTGGGGCCATCCTCCTCTGAATCATACAAGGAGAGCTCAGTGTCCCCTGGAGCCTAGAGGGAGGGAAGCCAGTGCAGAATGAGCTCAGTGACAGAAGGACAAAGGGGGCGCATGGTGGCAAGAAGGACGCATGGCAGACCCCAGTGGGCGCCATGTTTCCCACATAATTTGTCCTCCTGCTCCTCCTTTCACCTGCCTCATCTGCCTCACAAAATATAGCCCAGCTATGGTCTCTCTGACACCAGGCAGCTGTGCAAAGGGCCTATTCTCCTTTGAGGACCTTTAGAGGGAGGGAAGGTTTCCTTAGCTTATAAGGTGATGGGCCATCACCTGACCTTGGGGGATTCCTTTCCTGTCTCTGGGAATCTGTAAATGTAGGATAATCAGACTCACCTTGATGCTTTTTCCCTCACCACGCCATTGAAGAGGAGTGTGTGTGTGTGTGTGTGTGTGAGATTTATATACACAAATGTACTCCATAATAGGCAAATAAATATTATATATAAATTATTTATAAATATATAACTAATAAAGTATAAATGTGTATATATATATATATAAACCATAATAACGTCATTATTGGTACAATAACAAATGCTGAGGATTCATCCCTGTCTCCCAGTGGGCTCGGTGGATGGGGTTCAAGAAGCAGGGGGGCCTGCTGTTCCCCTAGAGCTTCCCTCTGAGCATGGAGGGCTGGAGCCAAGGCCCTGGGTTTCCCAGGACAGTCTTTCAGCACTTGGAACAGATGGCTTCACCTTCCCCATCTCTTAAGGCAAAGAGCAAATCGTTGCTCTAGATCCAGGAAAGTCCACAGAGGGCAGAGGAGGTTTAAGCAGAGGCCAGGGGAACAAACAATCTGGGAAGGCCAAGGGCAGGGCCTGAGCTGGGAAGGGACTGGTGGTGAGGGAGGGGTGGCTGGGGAGACAGGGGCAAGGGCCCCAATGAAGCGGACTTTTCCTGACTCCTCAACTTCCTAGAGTCCCAGACAGTGTTATTTGTATCTCATTTGCATATTACTTATGGAACTAGCAAATTAAACCAGAGGCTTGGTCCCAGCCTCCTCATCCATCAGCAGCCTGAAATCTCCAAGTGCTGCAAAATCAAACCAGGCAGACTCCCCGCCTCCCCTCCCCTCCCCAAAGGCCCTTTTAGAAAGGGTGAAGGAGGAGGCAGTGAGCAATGCCAGATGATAGGGCAGCGTGTACTATGTGTGCTGTAGGGAAATTAATATTAAAAAAGGGTCCTTTTTTTTAAACAAGGTACAAATAGTTTTTGAGTGATAGAAAAGTGATAATTATCATCTAATCCTAAATCAAAACCAAAAGAAAAATGCTGTGAAGTAGGTAATAGTAGTTGATGGTGCCTATTCTACAGATAAGGAAATTGAGATTCAGAAATTGGTGTTGGAACTCAAACCTTCTCCTGCATTCTTTCTAATGCCTGTTATGTTTTTTTGATCTATATCTATATCTATATCTATATGTATTTTGTACTGGTGGTTGAACCCAGAAGTGTTTAACCCTTGAGCCATGTCACATCCCCAGCCCTTTTTATTTTGAAACAAGGTCAAGGCTGGCCTTGAAACTTGTGATCCTCCTGCCTCAGCCTCCTATACATGTTATCCAGCTAGCAGGCTAGGCTTTTCTAATGCCCTTTAGTTCTGCTATTTTAGTGCCCTAGGATTTCCCAGGGGCAGGGACCTTACCCCTTGGAAGCTGTGACCTGGAGCTACTTCTCTGGCATTTGCTTGGGCAAAGAGGACTGCATCATGTATGCTGGGGAAGATGTGGTTGCGTTCTAGACACCCATCTTCAAAGACACCTCCGTGGCTGATGTCATTGTACACCTGGGCTGGAAGGAAGCAAGATCACCTTCAGAGAGATAACAGCCTTTGGGGAAGAGGAAGGATAGTGAGCCCAGAGCAGAGAGAGAGGAACAGAGACGCCCAAGGTTCATGTTCTTAGCGCATGTGGGCGGAGGTGCGGACAGCATGACATTGGCACTGCCATATCAGTTCTGGACAGCAGAGGGCAACATGGGCTTGAGGATGCTGAACCTTCAACCCAGGGCATAAGGAAGCAGTTTGATTGAGGGAGTCGGTACTTTGTGGTAATTTGAGAGGAAAGACTAGCATGTCCATGGGGAAGTTGCTGCCAATTCTCTCCTGTAAGGCTCATCTTCCTCCTGTTCACCTAGGCCTTTCCCATGTGTGGTACAGACCTTACTCTTACCAAATTCTAGGATGGAGTGTCCAGTAAGGGTGGGAAGAATCCACTGATTCTAACTCCAGACCCCATCCAAGCTGCTCATTACCATTGTAGATTCTCTCCATAAGTCGAGTCTCTGCAGAGCCTAGGACATGCAGCTCTGCTGGCTGGGATCTGACCCTCTGCAGGAAGCTCTGTGTGTGTGTGTGTGTGTGTGGTGTGCATGCACGCCCCCTTCACATCTTCCTGTGTGTATGCACTGGCTGCATTTCCACATCCCTTTGTTGGGCATATGTGCTAACGCCGTGAGCGTCTCTTGCTCCGTGGCCCGGTCCTTGGGGGCTGCATGCATATAAGATTTTGTGTGTGCATCTGTCTGTTCCCTAGGTAGTTAGGGCATGTGTGTGCTTTATGCTTCTTTAGATTCATGGACTTTCTGCTTGGGATAGGATCCTCAAGTTCATTAATCAGCCCTCTAATTTACATGGGTGAAAATAGATACCTAGACAGAGAAAGCAACTTGGTTCAGGATACATTGCAAATTAGTGACAGGGCAGATGAGAGTCCTGGTTGTCCTTTCTCAACTCTCCCAGTTGGCCATGGAGACTCCTCTGATACTCTCATAATCTGACCCATCTCTTATGACTTGTGACTGGATCTCTTATGAGCAGTCAGCAGTTCAGGGGAATGTTGGGGTGCTCTTATTCAGTGCCCCACCAATCTGTCCCCCCCCAAACATACCAGGGTGCCCTACACGTCCCCATGGATTTCTTACCATGGATGTTCACCAAGAAGACCTTGACTCCAATCTTCCCATAGGTGGAGCTCAGCTAGACGTGTGGGGAAGGCGTTGGGAACAGAGAGTGGGGGCAGAAGGAAAGGAATGTTCTGAGTGGGTCTCCAAAGTGACTCACAAAACCTACTTCAGAGGGAAGGCCAAACAAATAAGCAACCCAGGGAGCCCTGGCAGCCAAAGACAAAAATAGCAGCCGAGCACACCACTTCTCTCTGGAGTGTTGGCTGAAGCCTCCTCTAGAAAGCCCGGCGGAAATGGGGCTTTGCCAATGTGCCGGGCACTTAAAGTCTCGGTGGCCCTTCTTATGGGGCCAGATCTTTTCTTTTCGTAACTTGGATTCCCGGCTCCACCTCTTTCCCCGACTTTGTGGCTTCAGGCAGAAGCCGCAGGGGAGGACTGAAGAGAGAGACTAAGGCTGTAGCCAGGCCTGGGAAGCAGGTTCAGGCTCAGGAGGCAGGCTGAGGCCTGAGGAAGGCAGGGGCCTTCACATCTCCTGGCTGCTGGTGACATTGGCCCACACGATCTCTGTGCCCCTCTGTACCCCTGTGCTGTCTCCATCTGAGGTTTGCTGACTCCCTGACATCAGGGGTGGCCACTGAGAAGTCATCAGATGGGTACATTCACTCAGGGTCCCTTGGTCGCCTGTGTGACCCAAGGGTTGGGGACAAGGTGTTACTTTTCTTCTCTCCTAGGTTGGCCAGTGAGGGTAGGAAGGGCCAGCAGATTGTGATCTCGAGCCAAGCTACACTCTACTCAGAGAACCCTGGGGTGGGATCCCAGAGGCCTCAGAGGCCTGGTGCCTGTTGGTGTGGGGTGGCACAGGGGGACCGGAAACTCAAGAGATTTACTATCGTGTGCCGGCTCAGCAGAGAGTATCCTGTCCTGGTCATGTCTGGGGAAAGGAGGGATCCCTAGGGGCCTTGAGTGTCCTTCAGCTGGTTGAAATGAGGGCTCCAAGTTAAGGGGGTGGGGGGAGCAGGAGCGGGGGCCATGCACCCTCTCCCTGGGGGCCTCACCTTGCCCAGGGCTTTGATGCCCATCAAGTCCACAAAGCTGACTCCACTCATGTCTAGGATGAGGGTGTGGAAGGTGACAAAGGGTGGGACACTGGCCAGGGTGTCACTGGGCTCACTGGGGGACCCAGCAGAGGCTGATGGCTCACATGGGGTGGCTGAGGAGGTGTCAGGGCTGAAGGTGATGTAGGATATGCTGGCGCCGTTGGCTGGGGTCTGGTTGTTGTTGGGGTCTGTGGGGGAGGCGTTTTCAAAGTCCTGCTGAAGCTCCTGCAGGGAGACAGTCTGGGGGGTGGGGCGGGGGTCAGAGGCAGGGACCATGGAACCAAGTCAGACGTGGCTATGGCCGCAGCAGGGTGAGGAGCAGGTGGAGGTGAATAGCTCAGTTTGGTGCTGTGAATAAGGCCCAGGGAACCCCACTGGAGAGGCCGCTCCCAGAGCCCCTTCCTGAGGCAGGGCCTGCAAGCCTGGTCTCCCCCAGTCCAGGGAGAGAGTCCAGGACCCCTCCAGAGAGGCCCTGAAACCTCGGTTCACTCTGCTCAGGAGGAAGGCCCTGTGGGGACAGCAGAGCTCTTAGGCATTTGCCCACGTCTGCCTGCTCCTCCATGCCTCCCACCCTGGCCGTGGTACTCTGGGTTGTCTGGGCACCCTAGGAAATCCATGGAAGCTCTCCATCATCTGGGGTTGCTCATGGGTCCACAGACAGTGTCCTATCTTGGCCAGAACATGGGAGTTCAGTGTCTTCCCTGGGAGCTGGCAGCCCATCACCAAAGAAGATTGCCTGGCAGCCAGCAGGCAGTGCTCATAGACTTCCTGTCTTTGCCTCTCGGTGGGGTACCAGGGCCAAGGTCGGCATGGTGGCCGGGCTGCTCCTGGCCTCTGCTCACCTTGGTTTTCATGAAGAGGGACTTCCTCTGTTGTGTGGGCATCATTCTTTTCTCCTGCTTCCTGAGGTATTTTTGCTTGGCTAGCAATACTTTCTGGGGATCCATACCTGTCTGTAGGGAGAGGTTCAACAAGAATCTTTCTTTCTTTCTTTTTTTAGATTATTTTTTTATGTAGCATTAAGGATGGAACCCAGGGCATGCACAGGCTAGGCAAGTGCTCTCCCAGTGAGCTCTATCCCTGGCCCTTTTTATTTCATTTTAAGACAAGGACTCACTAAATTGATGGTGGTTGGCCTTGAACTTGTGATCCTCCGGCCTCAGCCTCCCAGGTAGCTATGATTATAGGTGTGCACCACCACATCTGGTTCCAACAACAATCTTGACCTCCACCTTTGCTGGGGTGGTCTGCCCTTTGCTCCCAGCCCTTCTCTACTTTCATTTTCTGGTCACTCTTTCTTCAGCCCTCCTGGTCACCAAGGACTGAGGCTTACCTTGGCAACAACCTTTTGCCTGAAGATCTCTGAGTTGGCAAAGTAGAGGGGGGAGCAGTAAGTGACGATCTTAATCCCCTCCATTTCCTGGACCTGTGAGAAGGAGACTGAGCTCAGGTTGCAGAAATGTCTTGACTGTTGTTTTTTTCTTTCTATTTTTAAACACCTCTGCTCGGGGTGGGGGCAAGGCCAAAGAGTGAGGTCATCAGCTTGGATTACCTACCCGATTGTAGGTCTTGGGATTCACATAAATGTCAGTGTCCATGACCTGGGCCAGCGCGTAGCCATTTCGACTAGAAAAAAGAAAGATGGCAGACAATGCTATGGTGGGCCTGGAAGGATGCTGGGGTGGAGCCCAGGTGGGGCAATGTTGGAACAGGGTCCTGTCCTCATCCCTGGGCTTGTCTCTGCCAGTCGTTCTGCACTGGAGACACATGCCTAGTGGGGATGTCAGGCAGGCCCTTGAGGCAGCTCAGGGGAGAGAAATGGTGAGATTTCACAAAATGACCAGGTTAGGTGGCCCTGAAGTCATTACTTCCTGGTTCTGAGTTCTTAAGAAGAGAAGGCAGGGTTTCTCCAACATTCAGCACCCTCGCTGCCCTGGCCAGATCCTCTCCCTGTACCCAGGGCCTGTCCTACTCAATCCCTTTATAGGAAGAGCATGGCCCTGTGCTCTGCCCTGGTGCTCTCCTGGGTGGGGTCCCCTTAGGTCTTAGGGACTGGCTGTGCTTCTGGAAGGGTGTTGGGTCTCACCCACCAGCTCTTTCTCTACATTGTACCCCCAGCCCGCTAAAACCAGGCTGGCTTCTTCTGGGGGTTTTAAGGTATGAGAAGTCAGACAGCCCATCCTGTGCCTGCAGTCTTGGTTGGGCCACACATCCTCTGGCCCTGGCAGCATCTCCAGTGCCTGGGCCAAAAGGTGTCAGGTGCAGCGGGCTGAGCTAGGCCTTGGTGTGGGAGCCCCTAGCAGGCCGGCTCAGCAACCCGCTGCTGTGCCTGGGAGTCAGGAGGCTGTTACTTACAACTGAGTCTGGAAGACGACAACCAGGACGGAGAAGGCGACACCCACTGCCACACCGTAGGGCAGGCTCAGGAAGAAGGAGGAGAGGAAGCTCACCACCCAGACACACTGTGAGGAGAGAGATGTCAAAAGCAGGCCTGGGGAGAAAAACTGCCTCTTTCAGGAAGTCTTCCTGGATTAGCCAAGTTTGTTCACTGTCAGCACAACCTCAGACCCATCCTTCCCTTTTGATTGCAGGTTTGCAGTGATTTACATGTTTGTACTTTGGTTAGACTTACCTGCTTCCCTTACGTTGAGTGTGGCTGCCTGATCATTTTCTCTTTCTTTTTTGGTAGTGCTGGGGATTGAACCCAGAGACTCGTGCCGACAAGGCAAAGGCTTTACCACTGAGCTACATCCTCAATCTGTTGCCTGTTTTAAAAATAGAAGCCCCAGCGTCCAGAGGGAGAGCATGTATAGAATAAGATTGTGCATCTTGGGTTCAGCGTTTGGTTCTCTTCTTAGCTGTGTGAGCTGTGGTTTCCTAACCCACAAAGGGATTCGAGTTAAGGAACGCAAAGGTCCCAGTCTTGGGATCAATGAGTGATCAATATATCAGGTGCTTGGACCTGCACCGATAGGCTGGGGCCAGGGGCCTTTAGGGATCCCCAAATTCCTCTAAAAGGAATCGGTCTTCCCGGATTCCCATAGAGAATTGTGGTGAAGGTCAAGTGGAACCACAGCACTATGTGTATATAAGAGGCGATTGCATGTTGGGATGAGGAAAAGTAGATCCTTGGGCTGGGAATTGGGTCATAATTTTTCTTCCCAGCCCCATCACTCCCCATCAGATAGCCCACTCTGTGCTCTGACTTTGAGGGTTTCCTTCCCTGCACTGAGTAGATGAGCTTCTCTCTCACCGGAGACAACACAGCCCAGGGGGCTGGAATTCAAGACCTGGGGTTCCCATCCACTCAGCCCCTTGCCTCCTCTGGAGCCTTTGATGATTTACTTAGCCACTTTGAGCCTTGATTTTGTCATCTTTGAAGGAGGTTAGCAAATCCTCTCCCTGGCTCAAATGCAGCTAATGCAATGTCATCGGTACCTGGGAGCCTGCATTACTATTGCCCAGTGGGAGACGCACTTGGCGTGCGTGACTAATCAAGATAATAAGTCATGCCGCAGATTGTTTGTGGTTACTTGGTGCTTTCCCACTGTGATCTCACCTAATCCACAGAACCAGTGTCTGACGCAGACATAACTATCATCCTCATTTACAGATGAGGAAACAGAAGCCCAAAGAAATCTAGTAACTTGCTCAAGACCCTGATCCTCTGGCTTTATGTTCCAAACTTTCTTACAAAGTGATTTTCTTGTGCTGTTTTGAACTGTAAATTATAAAAATGAGAGTAACTAAGTTTGATTGAGCACAAATACAACTCGGGCAGCGTGCAGTTTACTCATATGACCTCGTTTCTTCCTCATAAGCAATCAAAGGGTTGGAGAGTAGAAAACACCCATTTCACAGATGAAGAAGATGAGAGTCAGAGAGGTTAAGGAACTTGCTATTGACCAGAGAGCTAGGGAATGACTGAGGTAGGGTTTAAACATAGGATGCCTTGCTCCAAAGCCTGGATATTTAACCACTCAGGGAACAGCAGACCGGAGGGCTCAAAGATAAGCTGGGGCTGTGGGTTGGAAGAGGGGAAGGTCTTGGACAGGTGCCCTGAGCTGCCCACTACCTACGCAATCCAGCTTGCTCTTCCTCCACAGGTAGTAGGGGTCGGTGAGTTGCTTGAGGGAGGTCTTGAGGTTGACAGCTATCAGGGCTCCCAGCACGGCCTGGAGAGGCAGAATGTGGCTCCATGTCACCTGGGGTACTCCCTTCTTCCTGCACACCTGACCCTGAGACTGGCAGCTTAGAGTTGGAGTTCTAGAGCACTTCCTCTGGCAGAACCCCCAAACCTCTCCGCTCAATCTTAGGCTTGGAAAGTGCAGTTGCTAGAGCCATGGAATTCACCTGGCCCCATCTCTGTCCTTGTCTCTCCACTTATCCTCAAATGGCTCTTGTAAGCCCTGCTAGCTGGGCAGTGCCAGGGCTTGGCACCCTAGGAAGTGCACAAAGTGCCTGGGGCTATACCCTAAGACCAGAAGGCTGGGGTTGGGAACAGTCCTGCACCACGAGCTGTCTCTCCAGGTAGACTCTCTCAGGCTCAGTCTCCCTCCTCTGTAAAATGGAGAGAATAAAACCTGCGTGTCTACCTTACAGGTTGTGATTGAGACTAAGTGTGACAATGACAGTGTTTCATAATCTAAGATCTACCCAACTCCTAGGGATCATTGGTGCTTGGAGTCTCTTGCTGTCTTCTGCTCCCCAGCTGGGCTCTTACCTTGGGGAGAGGATACAGGTAGGACCCCAGGACCAGCATGGTGATCATCACTACCAGAGACACACACAGGCTTGCCACCTATTCAGAGAAAGAGTTGGGAACAGGGGGATGCTGTGGAAGTCTTGCCCTTGGTTGTTCCCATAGATGCCTTTGGTGGAGTGGAGACTGAGTAGGGAGAGGATGGGGCTGGGAAGGTGGGGCTGGGTTCTGTTTCACACCCCCCACCCCACCCCCAGTACAGGGCTCACCTGGGATTTTCCGCCAGCTCCATCCACAGCCAGAGTGACAGAGAGCGCGCAGCAAATGACATGGATTTTAAAGAAGGAACCAAAGAAATTGCTGCAGCCCAGGGCGATCATCTCCTATAGGAAGGGGGCAGAGTTGGTGGGAGGGGCAGCGACGCAAAAATAGTCAGTGTGCACTCTGGATCTTGGGCCTATGACTTGAGAGTGACCCTGGTGCCATGAAGTCACACACTACCAGTCAAGAGGAGGTCAGCCTCTTGGGATCAGAGTCTCCCCAAGCCCTCAGCTCAAAGGGCCCCCAAATCTCTTGCAGGTCTCTGTTGGCCCATCCCACCCAGCCCTGCTGAGGGCAGCCAAAGCTACCTGGTTGGAATCCACGTCATAGCCATGCTTGCTGGCCAGGGTCCGGCCCATAGCCAGGTTGATGACGTAGCCCACGATGGCCAAGGAGAAGGCTGTGCCTATCATGTCCTTCCACTGCGAAACCACGGGTGACACTGGAGCGGGGAACCTGTGGAGGAGCCGGAAAGAAGGCAAGGCCCAGGGGTGTGAGGAGAGGGAAGGGAGTCCTTCCTCAGCCCTCAGGGGCCAGCCAGAGCCCCCTGCTGTGCACCAGGGGCATCTCTTCCTAACTCCTCCCTGCCAGTCTCTCTCACTGCAGCCCGGGGGTGCCGCACCATCACTTCTGTTTCACAAAGGAGGAAGCCAGGCTTCGAGAACCTCCTCATCACAGAGCTGGCCAGTGGTAGGGCCTTGTCTGTTTGTGTCCAGATTCTGAACTCTTGCACTCCCCTAGTTTATGGACTCACGGGCCCCCAGTGCTTGAGGATGTCCCTTGCATGCCTTCTTCTGCTCAGTAGGACAGGCTCTGCCCCTGGCCTCCTGGGGCCCAGCATGGTGCTTGGCACAACATGGATGCCTAACAAATCTGGTTGATCCTAATGGTCACCATTGTGCATGGATAAACAGGGCCAAGAGCAAGGCAGAGGGCCAGCAGGAGAAGTTCTGCTGAACAGCACTTATAGCGTGAGACTTGCAGGGGAGGGTCGCTGTGAAGACCCATGTTCCATAAAGAGGTCAGCCTTGGCTGGTTGCGCGGCTCTTCTTGGTAATAAGTAATAGTAGACGTTCTCCTGTGACCAGTGTCATACTGTTTCTAATGGACTGTCACAGAGATCATGTCATCCCCATCGGAGCCCAGGGGGTCGGGGGTGGGGCCAGGCCTCTGGATCACCTGGACTCACCCACTTTGGATCTCTCCCACGATCTGCATGTGATACTTTCTGGGCATCTTATAGCTCCCGGAAATAGCTGTTGCCACCACCACCTGCAAATCCCAAGGTGGAGAATGAGGATTGGCTCTCTGTTGGGGCCAGGGCAGGGGTCTCTCCCTAGTCTCTCTTTTCTTTGGAGGCACCAAATCACACTATCTTGCCTCCTTTGGATGGGGGTAGGTGGAGGGGGCAGACACACGTACTGAAGGAGTAGGAAGTAGGAGTAGGAAGGGGAAGTGGGAATAGGAAGTCCCACACCCGGGGCATGGAATGGGTTCCATGTAACTTTCTGTCCCCTGGCTGTCAGTGGAGGGATGGGGTGAGGGACAGGTAGGGGGTTCCCTTGGCCCCATCTCTTCTCACAGCCCCTAAATCCCAGTCCCCCCAACATCCCAGCCCCGGGCAAGATCTTACCACAATCATCTCCGAAGGAATGGGGAAGCGGATCTTGTGCATGTAGCGAGCATTGAGCTCCTTCACCAGCACCAGGAAGGCTCCGCTGATGAGGGCGAAGATGAGCGAGGCGATGTTGGTGTGGGGGAGGTTTTTGCAAATGTCAATGAAGGTCTGGGGGAGAGAGCATGAGGCTCACAGGCTCCCACCCCTTGACCCCATACTATCCCGCTCCTGGGTGCCTATCTCAAGGGAGAGATGCCCTGAGTGCTTATGGAGGTGAACAAAGGCTGAACACAGACCCTGGTCATGAACATTGCCATCTCCCACTATCCTCTCCCAAAGGACATGTGGGGAACTCATGCTAGGATGGAAATACTTTCTTTTCCTCTAGAAGAGTTCAAACTTAAGGAGGGATGAAGATTACACTTAAGGAAGGTCTTCCCAAGCAGGGACAGGTTGGGGCACTGCAATGGGGGGTGGGGAACCAATGGAAAGTACATTTCTTTTTCTGCAGGAATAAACCACAGAGAATCTCAGGAAGCTCTCGAGGGCATGGGTTCAACTCCCTCCTTCCATGGTGGGAATTCCCGCAGAATCCTCTGAACAATGGCTCAGCCAGCCTTTGCTTGAGAACATCTCAGAATGAGCAGCTCACAACTTCCTTCAACAGTATCCTCTGCTCATGCATCTGCTTGAGGTCTGCCCCATTGGCAGGGTGCCTCCCCAGACTCACAAAGACGATGGACCCCGGGCCTGCGTAGGAAGGAATGGTCAATCCAAAAATGTACTTGAGCACGGAGATCAGAATCTGTAGGCCAGCAGCCGTCATGAAGCCCCGGATGAAGGACTCGGAGAGGTAGATGGCTACAAAGCCGAACTGCATGAAGCCCAGGCCCATCTGAGGGGAAGAAAGGAGGTGGCAGGGGAGACCACGATGGGTCAACCACCCCTGCAACCTGACCAGCACAAACCCAGGCCTGGAGCTCCCACCGTGCTGGGACACAGTGGCTCTAGGGAAAAGGGTCCTCTGTGGCTTCCTCCTGCCCTTCACTGTGCCCTATGTGGCCGCCACCAGGCCTTTGGTTCTTTATCGGGCCTTTGTCACGTCACCCCTCTGGCTTTGACTTCCTTATCTGCAAAATAAACTTGGTCCTTCTGAGTGCTTCCTCTCTCCGTATGACACCGTCACACACCTGATTGCCCAAGCCAGAAAGTGGAGTCACCCTCCCTCACCTCCCACATCCCATCTATCACCAAGCTCCGCTGATGCTCCTGGAACAACGTCCACCCCCATCTCCCTCTCCATGGCCACCACCTTGGTCTAGGCCCCTGTGACTCCTGCCTGGGCCTCTGCAGAGACTCCCAACAGGTCCCTCCCTTGGTTCTAATTCACCTTCCAGCCAGAAGCCCCAGTAAGTCTTATAGACTGCCCGTTGGATCCAAAGCCACTTCTTAGGGGACAGACTGACTCCACTGTCTGGCCCCTGATACCTTTCTGGCCTATTCTCTGGCCTTCTACCCTCTGGTCACATTACACGTTTTGCTGATTTCTGGTCAGACTCCCTTTCTGAGGCCTCTGTGCTTTGGGGTGCTGTCTCCCTCGGCAACCCCCCCCCCTATCCTTCTATACTTGATCCTTCATTCATGGGTTAGCTTCTAGTCATCCTTCAGGCTGAGGTCAAATGTCACCTCCCTTTTGAGGTTTTCCTTGATTCTCTCTTCTGTGTCCCTGCAGCCATTTGTAAGGAGCTCTAGGGGGTTGCTTATCTCACATTCATTTATTGGTCAACATGGCTACTTCCTCGGCTGGGCTGGGAGCACCTGAGAACTGAGCCTCTTTTTTATTTATCTTTGTATCCTCAGGGCTCAGTTCTTGGCACATGAAACGTAAAGTGAATGAATAAATGAATGGACTCGGGGCTGCTTCTTGCTCTTGCATTTTGTCAGACTGAACTTCCCTCCCCAAGCCCCAGGGAATCCTTTGCACTTCTTGGGAGAAGCTCGGTTTACATTGTGCACCTGCTGCCTTGGTGTGAGGCAAAGGAGCGTGGGGAATGCTGGCAGGGAGCTGGGTTTCTCCAAGGGGCAGTGGAGAAAGGCTGTGAGTCTTTTTTTTTTTTTGGCAGTTTTAAAGCTCAGGGCGGATTCATCAGGCGCCATTGCTGGTCGTAGGAATGGTCCTGACATGGGCACAGGTGAAAAGATACTCTGAATTTTTAAGGTATTTTTTGCTCTGGGATGAAGAAGATGGAGAAGACAGAGCCCTAAATCAGACCTATCATCATATCAAGGGCTCTGGGGCAGGGGCGGAGCAGCCTGGTTTCTTCCCAAGGTGGAACCCTAGCAGGGCTGGGGACTTGTCCACCTTACCTGGATGACGGCGGTCAGGCAGGCGAGTGTGGCCGACACATGCAGCCTCTCTGTCTCCATGGCTGCCGTGTCCACGTAGCTCTCATTGGTGGCATTGTTGAAGACTTGGAATTTCGACTCTGGGGCCAGCTGCAGACAGATGTTACCCACCAGGATGCTGATAACGGCAAAGGTACCTGTGGTGCCCCACCCAGCCAGCAAAAATGAGAGGTTTGGAGCACACCCATGGAAAGCATCCTGATCCCCGGGGCGATGGATCCCTGCACCTCCACCCTCCTCTCCAGTGTGACAATGCCACTGACGTCCAGTCACCCTCTGCACTCTCCAACCACCTATGCTTTTACCTGTCAACAGCATCTCATTGACATGTGAGGCCACCACTCACCAGAACCAGAATCAGAGACCAGCCCTGGTGGACAGACCCCTTTTCTCTAGCTCACCTAGCATCAGAGAACTCCAAATGTCCCTTTAGTGGCCTGCTGAGACCACTCTGGCCCCTGGACAGTGATTTCTCACACCTGTGTAGTGTAGGCCTTATCTTATTTTGTCAAGTTATCCACTCCTTCCAGGGAGGGGGATAGAACAGGTCATGCTGACTGAGCTCAGTGGTTTCTCCAAGGTCACTGAGAACCTGGGACTGATACAGTGACCGTCCCTCCAGGATCAATCAGTACCGACACCAGGAAAATGCAATGGAACCCATCCCCCTGGGCCATGCCACCCATCCTTGAGGTCCAGGTCATCTTGCCTGTAGAAAGAAGAGAGACCTTACCTGGCACCATCTGGTGCACACCCCCCAGGAAGAAGTAGGTCAGGAGAGGGAAGAAGGAGGAGTAGAGGCCGTTGACCGCAGGAAGGTTGGCCAGCAGAGCAAATGCCATGCCTGCAGGGGACAAAGAGATCCAAAGCTCAGGAGCACTAGAGAGAAGAAGAGGTGGGAGCAGCAGGCCAGGACTGGCTGAGGGGACCCCTCACCTTGTGGCACCTGGATGCATCCCCCACTGAGTCCGCCCAGCAGGTCGGGGATGATATAGTCCTTGATCTTGTACTTGGGGATCCAGGAGAGCACCGGCAGCAACCCGAACACCACGGCTTTAATCTTGGCTGAGGAACAGCTACAGGGAAGGAGGCAGGTTGGAGAGGGATGATAATTAATCTCATTTATTAATTCACAATTCACTTGGATCTCAGGAAACTGAGCACCCACAGACCATGCGGAGGATTCTGAGCAGGCAGAAACTTTCTCTGGAGAGCTTGTCAATGCACCCTGGGCTGGAGGTCTTCTCACTGCTGACTGCTCACCTGGGACGTCTACAAGGCTTGGCTTCAAGGTGTGAATTTTATGGTGGCTCAGGCTTCTGAGATGTCAGGTCCAACCCTGGCTCAGATGGCCTTTCTCTAGGCCTGAGTGACTGAGCCTAGGCCCGACTGCCCTCGTCTGGGCTCCTGCAGCTCTGGGTGCACCCTGTGACTTAATTCTTGCCTTTCCTCTGTCTCAACTCAGCAGACCCCGTGATGGCGAGAGGTCTGTCTCTCTTGTTCCCCCTCATACACTTTGAATGTTACAGAGGTGTGCTTGTGAACTATTTGTTGGATAGAAGAATAAGTAAATAGTTAAATGGATGAGCCAGTTTTGACACGGGGTCTGAGCGGGGGCTATCTGTTGCTCTTTTTTCTTAAACTTCCTTCCAAAAGGAAGGCTCTGTTATCCCTGTGGGGTGCACTGCAGCTGACTCGCTGACCTTTCTGTGCCATGCTCGAGAGCTGGAGTTCCCCCTGGTTAATGGATGGGTGGAGGGGGAAGAATGGGAGAGCTGTTCCTTGGCCAACACAGGCTAGGGAGAGTTGATCCCTTCCCTGTTTGTTGAGCACCTTGAGGTCCTTTCATGGTGACTCCGGAGCGGCAGGAACAAGGGCTTACAAATTCAAGGGCGACAGCCGGTGGATTGATGACTGGAAGGGGGTGGGGGGCATTTTCTTTTCTTCTCCCAGTTAAGGGAACTCAAATACTCAGGGCCCATCTGGTGACTCACTGGCCTGCTCTGATTAGGCTTCTTTTCCTGCCCGCCACCAATTCCTGCTCTTTACTCTTGCTCAATAATAGTTTCCCTGACACTGGGTCCCCTGGATGTCACCCAAGACTGAAACCAACACAGACAATGCTTTGTGTCCAGAAAAGTCTAGGCAGATTTTCTGACCCAACTGACACTGTGGAATGGCATTGCCGTCCGCCTCTGACTGTCCAGTCTTCTCTGGGGCTTACAGGTGCCTCCCTCCTCCCTGGTATGGTGGAAAGGGAGTTGAAAGTGGTAAATAACTTCATGCATCTCTAAAGTCTGATCCTAGGAGAGGATCAGGGGGTCCTTCTGTAGGGGCTCTGCAGGGTGTTGGCTTGTGGTAGAGGAAACTGGACTCCCAAGCAGACAGCTGGCTGGGTAAAGAATAACAGGGCATTTGAGGTCTAGTGCCTGCCCGATCTTCTTGCAACCCTGCCCTATGTGGGTAAATCTGAGGTCTGAAAAGAGCTGGAAGCAAGATCAAAAATATCTGTAGATGCCTCATTAGTGGAGAGACTGATTAGTGTTCTAGACATTCATTCATTCATTCATTCATTCATTATCAATCACATATTTATGGAGCATCTTCTCTGTGCCAGGAACTGTCCAAGGCTCCCAGGCCAGCCCCATGGGAATGGAGAGTTCCCTGGCTCCTTTTAGAATTTTCACCATCCTATCTTTTAGGAAAAAAGCAGACCCTTCTTATTCCCTCAGCATCAGAGCAACCCAAATTTGGGGTTCCTTTGGGCTCAAAGACTGGCCGAGCTCTTAAGTCTGAGGAACATAGCTGTGGGTATGGTGCCCAAACCCTGGGCACCCATGGCTTTGACTATAACTAGGCAGAGATGGAGCCTCCCAAGGGAAGCAGGGTTGGGCTGGGGCTTTTAGTAAAAACTCAAGTGGGTGATTCCCTCAGCCTGAACCAGTTCCACCTGCATCTCCACTTTAGCCGCCGCCAGTGACCTCAATCCAGGTAACTGAATCAGCTGTTTCTCCCAGGGGAACGAGAGAGCGTAAGCCAGCCCACAGCCAGGCCTGCGCGAGGCCTGCCAGGAGTCTAGGAATGGGGAGAGTGCAGCTGGGGCCCCAGCTCCCGGAGCGTGGGTATGCATCGCCTGGGTGTCCTCTTTCTTTGAGGCAAGGCCCATAGTTGGGGTATCTGGGTGCTGAAAGAGCCTGAGGCTGGTGGCACCATACCCCTTCAGGAGAGCCCAGGAATTTAGGGCGTCCTTTAAGAATTCTCTGGACCAGGTACAGAAAGGAATGTCAAGGAGGGAAAGAGGAGAAAGGGGATGGGATATGGTGGCTTCAGGCGTTTTTTAACAAAGGTCATGGAGTGGGGGGTTCTGATGCTCCCTTCCCCTCCCTATCCTAGCATGTGCATCTTAAGCTCATGTGAAGACCCAAAAGAGACTTGAAGGGACTGAGATGATGGGGAGGCCCTAGGCAGGGAGTCAGGGATGCTCTAAAACCCTTCTGAAACTGAATGGCTCTTGCTCCTCCTCCTTATCCTCTTTGCAGAGAGGGGGTCTCAGGACAGATAAGCTTGTAGGCTCTAAAGTTCAGGATTCAGAACCTCCCCTTCCAGATCTTCCCTACATTCTGTCTTAGGAATCCTAGTGCAGGAGCCATGCCCTGGCTCAGGAAGGATTTTGGCAAGGAGCAGAGGAAAGAGGAGACAGGTTCTGGGCCACATTACCTGAAGGCATTGCGAAGTTTCTCTCCCACTGGGTACGGCCGGTCCTTCTTCTCAAACTCATCATCGAAGAGGGTGAGAGAATATGCGGTTCTGTCTACCACGTAGCGGGGCCTGGGCTGGCTCATGTCTGGGGCATTTACAAGCTTTGGGAGAAGCAAGTAGAGGAGAGTGAGGGGGCATCCCTCCCCAGCGCCAGCCAGGGCCCTCTCTCTGTCTGTTCTTGCTGCAGGGGCGTTTTATTCTGGTCCTCCCCGCCCCCATCCAGCAAGGTGCCTCCCTTCCCACTGTCGCCTTCCCGCCAGACTCCCTCCTTTTGGTGGCCTTCCTTCTCAGGCACTGATGATACACACACTTGCCCTGGCTGTTTTGCTTGGCGCCCAGCACGTGGCTGGCACTCCACACCTGTGACATCACCGTCACCCCCGCCGAGCACCAGGCACAGGGGAGGTGGGAGTACAGAGGTAGAAGTCACAGCTGGATTCAGTGGATTGATCCTCTGGCCCCTCTTGGAGCCCCTACAAACTACCACTCTGTCCCCAGGTCTCAGTTTCCCTGGCAGAAGGGTCATGCCACTCAATCAGTCCACTTGGGACAAATAGAGAGAACAGCCTTCCCGGAGGCAGAGGAATGGCTGGGGTGACTTCAGGAGGACCTTTCTCAAATGAGACATCCAGGACTTCACCAACAGGTTTCCCCAGAGGGAAAATGGTGTGTCTGGGGAAATCAGGATGGTCCCGCTGCCGGTAGCCTCTCCCACAACTTCCTGGGCCCAGCCTCTCCCCCCACCCTCGTGGACTGGTGTCCCTCCTCCTCTGCTTTGCGCAACCTCACTGCTGATCCAGGAGCCGAGTTGGGCAGAGCCTGGTGCTAGGGCCCTTAAGGCCCAGAGGGGTTCCCTGTGGGAACCTTCCCCCGCCCACCACTGTCTTCCAACTCCTGGTCCCTTCTCCTGTGCCCTGACCCCCTAAACTGGGAAGACCTACTTGGAGGAAGGAGAGGGGGCAGTTTACCTCCACCTTTAGTTGGAGGGTTTATATTTGGCAAGTGGGGAGGGTGGGGTGGCTGTGTCCAGTTTGGCTAAAAATCTGAGATGTGTAACCTCACGACAGGAGGGAGATGGCTCTGGACTTCTTAGAGGAGGACCTGGGGGGAGGGGGGAGGTTATCAGAGGGGAGCAGTCTGGTGGGTAATTTTTGTGGAAGGGGACACTGGGAGAGAGAGAGAGAGAGAGAGAGAGAGAGAGAGAGAGAGAGATAGAGAGAGAGAGAGAGAGAGAGAGAGAGAGAGAGAGAATGAATGAGCGCATTTACTAAGGGTCTAGAGACCTGTTTGTACTCAGAAGGGTAACATTGCCTCTCTGAATCTCAGGCTCCTCATTAGCAAAATGGGGAGCAGCCCCCCTACTTCACAGCGTTGTTGTGAAGATCCAATGATGTAATGGCTAAGATTTTACCTACATAAAATGTAGAGAATGATACAAATGTTGAGTTTCTGTCCTTAATGAGGTTGTACTTGAATTAATGAGGGCTGGGCTGGTGCATCCCATTCATTTGGTCTTGGCACCAAGGTCCAGGGGGAACTGCAGGTAAGGGATGGATTCCTGGAAAAAAAAAATCCCATGGATGATACCCCACAGAAGGCAAGATGGGGGCACGAGCCTCCCCACATCCCCTGCCCAGCCCCTTGCCTGGCACTTAGTCGGTACACAACAGATGCTTGTTGAGTGAATCAATAAATGGTGTTTTGGAAGAGACATGGGCAGAAATGAGTAAGGATAATGGCACGTGAGACACTTCAGTGGGAGAAATGCAGGGTGGCATCGGAAAAGCAGCACAGGCTTTACCGCCAGAATGACCTGGGTTCAAAGATTCAGTTTCTTCATCCCTAAGTGGGGATAATAGCAGCCCCAGACAGTTGCTATGAGGATTTGACAAGATCTAGAGTGTGAAGTGCTTGGCTTTTCATAGGCATCCAGTAAATGGTAACGGCGATGATTATAATTATTAAGATGGGAGGATGCTCCCTTCTGTACAGGAGAGACTATTACCCGGCCTCCAGCCCTTCACCTTCATGAGGCAGGTTGGCCTCACTCTTCCTCCATGCCTTCTATGGGATCTGCAAGGGTCTGGCTTTCCAAGTGATGTTCTTGGTGGACTCTTTGGAGGCCATGAGTGGGGAGCAGGATTTTCCAAGGAATCTGAGCTACAGACCTGGTTTCAGAGAGACTTATGTTTTGGGGAGTGAGTTCCAGGCCATCAAATAGACCACTGGCAAAGACACAGCCCAGCTGGGCACAGTGGGGCGTGGCTGTCATCCCAGCAGCTCGGGAGACTGAGGCAGGAGGATTGAAAGTTTGAGGCCAGCCTCAGCAACTTAGTGAAACCTTTAGCAACTTTGTGAGACCCTGTCTCTAGATTTAAAAATAAATAAATTAAAAAAAAGGACTGGGGATGTGGCTCAGGGATAAAATCCCCAGTTAAAAACAAAACAAAAAAAAAAAAACCCACCCCAAATTTTGGAAGAGGTGATGGGAAATTTTGCTTCCATACCCACCAACAGGAAGTGACCTCAGAAGCGCCTTCCGAGGCCACTCCCAAAGGCCAGAAGTTCTGGCAGTGCATTGGGAGTGGGGGGCTGCGGTGGGTGCTACTAATAACCAGTCTTACTAAGGCCTACTTTCCCAGCTCCTCACACTGATTTCCCCATTTCTGCAGTGGTACCTTTCTCCCTGTGTCTCAGTCCCTCCCCTGCCACTCCACCTTGTCCTTTTCCTACCCCTCAGCCTCCACGTTCATTGCTAATCAGCCTACTGTGGTGGTTTTGTCCCTTCTGCTATTTCCTCCCTTCCTCTTCCTCTCTTGTCCATCGCCTCTGCACCTTTACTCTGTCCTTCCACCTCCAAGTCTGGCCTCGCACCTGGACTGTTGCAATCGCCCTCTAACTGATTTCCTGGCCTCCAGCCCTGCCTCCTCCACTCCAGCCTACACCCCCTGCTCAGAAATCTCTATCTTCCTCATTTCCAGAAGGGTGAAGCCAAACCCCTAGTTCTGACAATTTTTGATGTTTCACCCTCTGGTCTTGTGTGGGTGGGTGGGTGGACTTGTTGGCTAGGTCCCTCTGGACCATCCAGGTGGGTCTGTCCAGCACCCTCTGCCAAACCAATTTGGGTCTCTGTTCACACTTTGCTCTTAACGCCAGTTGAACTGACTGACTCACTTCTGCTTTCCCAGACCTGCCCATCCTTGAGATGGCTTCCGTCCCTCCTCCTCCCCACTCCTCCTTTTGTCTACGAAACCTTTCCAGACCACCCCAGCCTGGAGCCCTCTCTCTCCTCTGGGATCCCCTTCCCGGGCCCCTCTCCAGCCTGTATACCGCTGTTGGCTTTGGTAATTCCCGGCTGTCCTTCCAGAGAAGGGAGGGAGGAAGGGGGCGGGGTGGTGGAAATCCTTCAGAGAGCATCAGGTAGGTGACTCAGGACTGCCTCTACCCCCTGCGGGCAGGCCTCCAGAGGCTGAGAACCGGAGGCCAGGGAATCCCCTCCGACACAGGCTGACAGGGAAGAGCCCCCTGCTTTCTGCAACCCTGCATCCGTCCCTTCCCCATGCTCTCTGCCCCATTCTTTTCCAGAAACAGGGTGTTGCAGGGGAAAGACTTAGGGAGCTTTCACAACCCCTGTTTTCATGTCTCAGTAAGCAGAACCCAGGGGCCAGTCAGAGTTGGGAAGTTATTGCTCGGAGGGAATTGAGGGCGCCCTGGGCCCAAGCCTCTCATTTTTGGGATGAAGAAACTGAGTCTTGGAGGGAGGCGGGGCGAGGCGGCTCTGAACCAGGCCTTGACTCCCACTCAAGAGCCCCTGCTGGAAGGGGCTCTAGACTCCCCTAGAGACAACACTGACCCCTGCTTTCTGGAGGTTGCCCCCCCACCCCACCCCAGTGGCATCCAGAGTGCTCCTGTTGGACCACTCTGGTGACCTTGCTCCCTAGCTGAGGAGACGGGACTGCTGGGTTCCATTTCTTCCATAGAGGGCTCTGCCACCCTGGCCTTAGCTGCCCTGGACAAGGACAAGCAGAATCTCAAATCTGCAGGCTCAGGAGCTGCGCCGGGTCCTGGTGAGGAGGCGACCTCATCATACTTTCTAATCTCAAGAAGAGGGGTGTGGGGGTGTCACTTCATCTCCAGCCAGTCCTCAGCACTGGAGGAAGGGGGTTGGGAGGGGTGGGTAAGTGTGGCCAGCACAATGGGGAGGGCCTTGCCTCCTGGGGTTCTCCAGGCTGTGGGGTCCCAGAGTCCCCCAGTGAGGGGACCTCACTGTGCTGGCCTAGGGGTGGGAAGGTGAGAGGGGGAGAAGGGAGAGAGGTATAGGGAACATGGCGATCTGATCCCTAGTTAAACACACAGCTCTGCCCAGTGATGTCAGCGTCCTAAAAAAAAGAGCCCAGTGCTCTGTCGCCATGGGTGCCCTGCCTCCATCAAACAGTGACAGCCCCTCCCCCGCTCCTGCCAGATCAGGGATAAATAGCAGGTGCCATGTGACAATATTGAGGAACAAAAAGGTGACCCTGGCCCTCCCACTCTGCAGAGGAAAGCAGCGCCCGTCCAAAGAGCTGGAGAGACTTGGGGTGGGGGGGAGCAGGCAGGGCTTAAGGCAGGTAGGGGGGAAAAAGAAAAGCAGATGGGAGGAAATAGGGGTGCAAGGAAGATTCCTAAGCCCAGGGAGGGGAGTGGGGACAGAGGTTCAGGGGACTTGCACAGTGGCATGGCTGGGGGATGGGGAGCCAAGGGCAAATGGAGTCTGTGGGGAGCCCCTATAATGAGTTCATGCCAAAGAAAGTGCATTGGGACCTCCTCCCAATCATTTTTGTGACTAGATCTGTCCATGTCCCTAGAGCACTGTGGGCAGAGATGGGCGCTGGCACAGTGCCCAAGTTAACGCAGGGGAAGCCTTGGAAGGGTGCCCCGTGGTGAGCCTGCGGCACCTCCTGACCATTATTGTTGCTACTGTCCCCTGGAGGATTCACTTTCTTGCTCGGCCACCTCAGGCAGGTCACTCTGCTTCCTTGCCTTTCTTTTCCCCTCTGCCCTGCCCCACAGCCCCAGGTCCTTACTCTCCAGAGGTCCCCAGGACGGGCTAGAGGAAGAGCAGAGAGGCTTTTCAGAAGCCAGGACACCTGGGGAGCAGGAAGGCGGGAGCCTGTCTGTGGGTTTTGGTCAGGTCTGGAGGTGACTGAAGACGGTCATTGTGGCAGAGATTAACTTCCTCCTCAGCCCTGCCTGGCTGTGCGTATGTGTGCGCGTGTGTGCGCGTGTGTGTGTGCGTGTGCCTGTGTATGTGTGTGTGGTGTGTTGGGGGGTGTTCCTTGACGCACCTGTGCCAGGCACGGGAGCAGCCCCGGCTTGGCCAACCTACCCTGGCGTCCTTATCACTGGTTCCTACCTGGCCAGTCGCTGTGTCTGGGAAGAGGAAAGGTCACTTTGAGGCTTCCCCTTTGCTCTGAGTGCCTCATCCAGGGTGGGAGTTCCAGGGAAAGAGTAGCCTCTGTCTGACCAGGGTGGGGATGGGAGCTGGGACAAGTAAGTGTGCTCCTGGGGCCTAGTTGGAGACTGTGTCCCTGGCAGGTGGAGGGAGTCTGTAGAGGCCTATGTACCCTTAAGGCATTTTTTAATACTTTTCTTTCTGAAATTCTCATATTTCCTGGACAAATCTCCTGTCTCCTCCTCACCCCAACCTACTCTCCTCCTCAGAGATGTGAGGGGAGGACAAATGTCCCTGAAGTGTGTGCCCTCTCTCTGGCTGCTCCAGGACTGTATCGCATGCAGGAGAGAGACTCACTGCTGGGACCCCCAAATCCCCTCTCCTTATCTCCAAGCTAACTTTCCTTCCCACTCTGGCCTCCCTGCTGGGGACAGGCGGACAGATGCTGGCTGGAGGAAATGAATTCCTGCAAGAGGAATGGAGGGTAGATGTTGTGAAGTACTTCACAATAGTGAAACCTGAACAAGGTCATGGGAACAGGCACTTGGGGTTAGACTCCTAGAGGTCTCTGAGGATTTCAGGGCTGGTCTCTCTTGGAATCAGGGTCCTGGACAAGGAGAACAGTAAAGGTCCAAGAATCCAGCTCAGAGCCAAGAGTGGCCGAGTGAAGGGCCATCTCCCTTTGAGGAGGTGTCAGCTCTGTCTTCCAAGTAGTGACCCCCTCACCCTTCAGAGCTCGGTCAGTGTGGAGCTGGTCCCCCAGTCCCTCAGTGAGCTAACTCTGATTATTTAGTACAGTTTAATACACACAAAATACCAATCATGTGCAAATCTCCTGGAGGTCTGGTCACTGAGAGAGCAAAGAAAGTCCATCTCTGCCCCCAGGATTTCATACAAATGAGCCCCAGAGCTGACTGGACTCAGAAGGTGCCTGGGAGGGCCATTCTGGAGATGGAGGTGGCACTAGAGTATGTGGTCTCTGTGCTGCCCAGGCAGGCCCTTGTCAGGTTCTGAATGCCAGGGCCCAGATGAGAGAGTCGGGGTCGGTCAGGGCCTCTGGAGAAGGTTGTCTATGTGAGTGAAGACAGCTATCGGGGGAGGCCTTCTCTCTCCGCCCCTACTTGGTGGCCTGTGTCACTCCAGGGGGCACTGCCTTAATGTTGGTCTTCCTCCTGGCACTCAGACCCAAAGGGGCCAAGTCCCGGGAAGTTGGTACTAGAAAGACTTGCTTGGCCTAGGCTGGTGGCCCTCTGAGCTGATTTTCAGGAACAGAGGCACTGCCTGAGGTGGCTGGGACCCCTCTGAGCTGCAGGGTGAGCTCAGATGCTGGGAGCCAGCTGGCTCTTCATCCACTGACCTGACCCAAACCCTTCCATGCAGAAAAATTCATCATGGAGTCAGGTCCCCTGGGCCCTGCTCCCCGCTGCCCACCCGCCTGCCTGATGGAGCTGGTCCCTCCCCATCCTCTCCCACTCCCGGTTTCCTCTCCTTCCACTTCTTCCAATTTCTCAACATTAATGGGGACAAACGAGGTTCCATGCAGTTCACACCAAGTGCCCAGAGCTGGTGGAGAAGTGGAAGAGGACCTCTGCAGAGGGAGGGGACCCAGCCACACAGAGCAGGCTGGCAAACAGGCACTCAGAGCTCTTAGCTTCAAGGCTTGAGAAGAAAGGGGAGGCACCCGAGGAAGGCCACGGTCCCCCTTTCCCTGGAAGGCCTGTGAAGGAGGTTTTGTCTCGCTGTTTGGGGGTCTTCTACCACTGCCTCTGTCCCACACACTCCTTCAACCCAGCTTGGCCTTGGCAGCCAAGGTCCTTCCATGGAAGTGGGGACCCCCTGGGCTCCTCGGAGGGCTGCTCTCAGACTCAGGGGCCAGAGTGTCCTTCCCACTGGTGCCCAGGTGGACCAGCAGCTCACCCCGTGACCTGTTGGTTCCTGTCATCCTCCTCTCCGTACCCCTGGCGCCCGCCCTCTTCCAGGGATGACCCCGGCCTTGTGGGCTGGGCTGGGCTGGATGGGCCTTACCGGTGGGTGAGTGGAGCCGGCTGGGCAGGGCTGCAGGTGTGTCTGGGCAGCGGGCAGCAGAAAGGTGTTCGTGAGGTGTGTGAAAGGGCTCTGCTCAAATAATCCAGGGAGGCGTTTATAAATAACTTCACCTCAGGGCCACGGGGTGAGCCCCGGCTTCTGATTGGCTCCGAGGGGAAGTGGTTTTGAACACTACACCATAGCTAAGCCTGAGGAGATAGGAAAAGGAGATAAGGGGGAAAAGGTCCCAAATGAACAGCCCTTTTTTTGTTTTACTGGGGGAGCAGGGCTGTTTGATGGGAGCTTGGCACTTCCTAAATCCACCCCGAAGACAATAGGTCACATTCAGCGGGGCCCCTGCCCCACAGGCTCCCCCAAGGCGGCCAGCCGAGGAGGGACACAAGGCAGATTCCTCTCTGAGCTCGCTGTCCTGCTGCTTATGGGCTGGGGGTCAAGCCAAATAGCCTCTTGGACAATGGGAACCTTTGAGGCCACCTGAGGGTGGGACTCTGGAGCTGCTTTGAAGGTTGTAAATCTGGGGGTGGGGGACAGCAGACCTCTGAACATCCCTGTGGAAGGGCATGAGCCATGTGTGGGATACCCTGAGAGCCCCTGAAGGTTTGGGGGGCTGTAGCAGAGACCTGGTTCCCAGTTCTGTCCCTGATCTTAAGTCACTAGTGAGTTCTGTGCCTTGGTCTGTCCATCAGTGCAATGGGGAAAGCATCTCTGGTCCTCTGACTGCTCAAGTATCAAGTGGAGAGAAGTGGAGGTGTGGGATCTGGTAAGGAGCTCAAGAAACTAGATCTACCACAATTACATACAAGGTGCTTTGAAGGCTAGTGAACCTCCAATCCACAGGCCACTTCCAGGAGAGACTGCCTGCCTGAGCCACAGTTTTTCCAGGCTCAGCCTGCCTTTGGGGGTCATAGATACCCACCCTAAGCCCATTGAGAGCCACTGAAGGACCTCAGAAAGTAGTTCTGCATTGCAGGGTGGGAGATGGGTCGGGGGAGTTTCTTGACATCTCCTGGGAAGGAGACTCCCCACCTGATGCCAGGTGTCCTTTCTTCAATACATGTGGGGCAGGCTGTTCTAGTCCTAAATTGTCTTTCAGGGGCTCTGGAGTGTTAGAGAATTAGTACAGGGGTGCTTCCGTGAGACACCACTGGAAATTGGGGTGAAATAAAAGACGAAATGGGTTAGCTTCAGAACATAATAGGAACTCAACAAATATTTGTTGAATGAATGAGAGAATGGATTGTCTGCAAGCCCAACCCCAGGGGTAGTTTGTCTATGCATTGCTTGTGTGGACCAGGGGAGCACCCAAGGTCACCAGACAACTGCCTGAAGAAAACCAGAATATAAGCAACCTAAGCATGCCCTGCCACCCAACTGAGAAAAGGATGTGTGCGTGGACACTGCCTCCAGGAGCCCTTTCTGGCCATTGCAAGGACTTAGCTGGTTCATTCCTGTGGATTTTTCTGCACCAACAGCATATCACTCAATGCAACCAGTGGCAATTATTTGCTCCATTGTCAGTCTTTCCAAAGATGCCTAGGGAGGATGGGCAGGTGGTGCCTGGCTTGTTCCCTTTGGTATCCCTACCACCTAGGCCATTGCCTGGTACTTACTAGGAGCACAATATAGGTTTGTGAGATGGGAGAAGAACTGTGTGATGGAGAATGGGGAAGGGCAGGAATTTGTCCATGGATCATCAAGCATTGTCCAGAGTTGTGGGGAGCCTGACTTCCTCTAAACTTTGGCCAGGAAATTCCTAGAAAGCAGATGAGTCATCCGGCTCCTACTCTACTCCGGGGACAATGGCCATCCAGATCAAATGACTAAGTCCTTTTACTGAGATGATACCATGCCCACCAGGGAATCATCTGGCTGTACATCCTTCTGGGCAGAGAAGGCACAGCCTCGCTAACTGAAGCACCTAGGGCTATCTGAAGACGCTCTTCTTCTCTTTTAAATGACCCATGGATATTTGGGGCTACCAATTGGTCTAGTGTAAAATTTGTTCATGTGAGAATCTCCCCTCATTTTGACCTGCTTTATGGAATGCTTGGCTTTCTTGCAGGTTGTTTAGTTTAATTCCCATACCAACCATGTGAGATAGGCATGTTACTCTATTTTTTTTTTGGGGGGGGGGTGAGTAAACTGAATTTGACAAAAATGAAATAACTTGCTCAAGGTCACAAAGATCTGGATGGAAGAGAGAGAAGTCGAACTCAGATATTATGGCTTCCAATCCTCTGCTTTGTCCACTATATCACTTTAATCTTTGAACCCACAAAGCTAAGGATGGGGCCCTACTCAATACCGTACCTTTTGGACACTTTCAGCTTCCCTTTCAAATAACTCCCAAGGTCACCTGGATGCAGATGGCTGGGACTTCCAGAACATGTGCTAGAGTTGGGGACTAGTTAACTTTTTCCCCAACTGTTCTATTATCTCAGCAAAGTCCTGGACAGGCAGGCCTAAGTAATATGGGCAGGAGGGATGGTCCCAGAGGTTCCTTCAAAGTCACCAAGGGGATGAACAGGGGCCTCAGGATATGGGCAAGAGTCACAGGTGGGTGGTTCAGAAAGAAGGAACCAGTCCGGAGGCTGGGGAAACAGGAGAGGAGGTAGAGCAACCCTGGGGGCTGACAAGGGGTATCTTGGATGGGATTAAACTGAGGTACAGAATTCGGGCTGGTGTGGGGAACACAAGGATATGGAGAGACAGACATAAATGGTAGAGAAAAAGGGCAATAAGGACTCATAAACAATGAGAAAAGAGCAAAGAAGACATTTAACATTCAAAGCAGCTCAGTCTTAGGTTTTATTAAAGTATATGTTTTTTTTATGATGAAAGCAGGTGAACATTAGCTGTATCCTCTCTTTGGACCAGTGTCCATTCTCCTTTAGAGACAGCCGACTTTACATCCTAGGGTTGAAAGTTATATTGGTTTGCCCATTCATTCGTTCATTCATTCATTCAAAACCCCTCCTCAAGTGCCGGGATCCCATCGTGGAGAGAATGAGATAAATAAAACAAAATTCCCATCCTGAAAAGATCTCATGCTGGTGGGAAAGACCATTGTCATATGGAAACATTGGATGCCACAAGAGACAGGAGAGGCCCTAGCTTAGCTCCTGAGCAGAGGGGACAGAGGTCAGGGAAGACTTCTGTGGAAGGGGACATATAGGCTCTGCTACAAGTGAAGCCCGGACACCTGAGTTATAAGCCATACAGGGCCACTCCCTGGAGGAAGTAAGATGGGGACTGCCCCTGGAAGCACTATTTCTAGAAGGATTTTTCAGCTTGTCTCCAGCCTTCTCTGACTTCTAAATCTCGTGTTTGCGTGTATCTGCTGTACTTTTGAGTTGGCACAGCGGTTATTTTTCAAGTGAGCAAATTGAATCTAGACCTGCAAGAAGGACACTAATTTTGCTACTGCAGTCCATTCTTGGGCCTCTGGCCTTATCTGCACCTGTTGGCTTCTTGCACGAGTGCCCCGTGTAGGGCCTGTGCCAAGGGTGTGGGCAGGATCATGTTTGGAGCAGAGTGGCCCAGTGACTTATGCAAACAGCTCAAGGCCAAAGACAGAAAACTCTTCACCTCCTGCCCTGCGGTGGCGGGATCTGACCTGGCCCTCAGGCTACCAGCCAGCTATAGGAGTGTATGTGACTCGAGGACTGCAGAACTCCCTGGGAATCTCAGGGAGTCAGCACCCTAGCTGTGGGCTGCTCAGGCTGGTCAGGAGATGGTGGGGGGCAAGGTGAGTGGGGTGATGAGAACTAGGATTCACTGTTTCCATATAGTAAACCTGAGCTCCTACTGAATGCCTGACCCATATTAGGCATCAGGGAGACATGACCCAGTAAAAACCAGTCCCGGGAGGTCAAGACCTTGACAAGAACCGGCAGAGAGAGGCTTTCAAAAATGAACATAGCAGAGGTGGGGACAGTAGTCTGAATGGAATCTTAGCATGGCCTCTGAGGCATGGAGGGTCTGGCTAGAACCTTTCTGGAGAGTCAAGTCAAGGTTGTCCATGGTCCTTATACATCTGTGGCCAGAGGAAAGCAAGTGTCACAGAGCCATGGAACAGGGAGATGCACGACACTAAGCCCATTTGGTCCTCCTCCCTCATTTTATGGATTAGATTACAAAATCCCCGACAGGACCAGGGATCTGCCCAAGGTCATCGAGAGAGGCGAGGGCAGAGCTGTGAAGACAACTCAGGTTAGTGTCCCTCATCCCCAATCCCAGTCTCCACAAGAGATAAGAGGTCTTGATGCTCTCCCCTGAGCTGGGCCTGCGTGGCTGTGGCTGCAAAGAGACTGCTGGGCTCCATCTGGCTTTGTTGGAGGAAGGTGGGGGAAGGGTAGCCGGATGGTAGCATTGGCCTGGGAGCCCAGGGTGCTGCGGCTCCTAGGTGGGTAGTCCTGCACCTTCTAGAAAGAAGAGTTAGATTCTGCTCAGAACCAGAAACTGGTGGCCTGGGTGAGGGTGTTCAAGGCAGTTTGCACAGGGCTGGGAATGCTATGAGCAGGCCTGAGATTAAGTGGGGAGGGGGCGTTCCAGGCTGCTGATGTTAACTGACAGGCCTCCTGGCTGCGATTCTGACTTTGGGCCCCTAAGCCAAGCACACCTTAACTGTGTACACAGGTTGAAACCCAGGGAGGGCTGAAATAGCTTGATGCTCGAGAAGCATGAGATCAGTACTCCTGGGTTCCAAGGCCTTGTGCTTTCTCCAGGGTCTGGCTTGTGCAGCAAGAGCGTTAAGTCAGAAGGTGTGTTTTGTGATTTTGGGACAGTCACAGGAAAATGATGCATGTTTGTCTTTCCCTTTGTAGTCTGTGTTCTCTAGGAAGAAGTCTAAAACTGGAAGGTACTTTTACTTGTCCCTGGTCTGGTCCACGGAATTGCCCCTCCTCCATGACCCCTGGCCCACACATGTCTGTTCTCTGAGTGGCACTGCCGAACTCACACCAGCCAAAGCTGAGGCCTTCCCCAGGCCTTCCATGTTAGTTTTGTCTCCCCTGCAGCTCCTCAAGGCCTGGGATTGTGTCACAGGCCCTCAAGAGGCCTCAGG